CACCATATGCAATTTAGTACATTAAATTGTCAACCTTATTTAAAATACAAAAACTAGGCTACCAATTGAGTTAACTAAACCAAAGTAAGTAATTTCAAGTTTACAACGTCAACTTTCAGGGTATACTATGGAATGATACCGAATATAAAAGCACTGCATGCTTAAACCAAAAGTTGAGCACAAACGTGGTAGCAGCCGTGTTACATGTACTCTAGAATATCTAACCAAACGGTTGTATATCGTCTTTATCAGTATTGTTTGCCCCATGAGGGGTCAAAATATTCCTACATACTTGACTTTCGGAACCTTAGACAGTAGTTTTCCGTCTCGTCTCCTAATTTGACCTGTTCAAAATACATTTTTCTGTAACACCTAGTATTTCGAATTTTGCTTCCAAACCACTGAAAAACATTGGAGAAACAGTGTTTGTCGTCTAATGATACAAAGTTATACAGGATAGTTCCGTACTGGTCAGGTTTTGTTATTAAAACGTACAATCAGTCTATGAAAAATTTATCTCTTACACTTTGCGGTTGAAGTAATTTTATGTGAAACTCCAAGAAAGAAAGCGTCATAACTACTGCCCCATAGTCTCTAATGTAGCTATCTATAGGGAAAACAAAGCCAGATTAGCATTCTGGCTGTCGCTGTTCTTAGATGAAGAATTATCGAACGTGAGTTAGTAGCTTTTATAAAATTTCATTAACTAAGCATTCTTAAATAGAGCAAGAACAAAGATTGGTGCACAATAATAAATGAATCCATTTTATTTCGTTAGATTCTCATCAGCTACTTACAACCTAAAATATTTGAAATTCAACATTATTACAGATATTGACATATTTATACATAAGAGTGTGATGAAGGATCAATACATGTGTATGATGATGCAGCGAAGATTCAGATAGAGTTAATGAGCTCATAAAATGTTTGATTCGTATAAATAAAAAAAGTTAGAGAGGGAAAGTTCTGGAACATTGAAATAGTGATTAGAACTCATGAAAATAGACTAATGGTAATAAAGAAAATATGAATTGAAATCAATCAGTTATGTATGATGTCATTTATATTTCAGAAAGAGTTGCAATAATGACGTAATAAATAAATAAATAGGAGCAAATTAATAGAAAAAGTGGGGGTTATTGTTACCAGGGTAAAGAAAGATTTATTACTGTCTCTTTTTGTATACATAGATCTGGTTTCAGACGTTTGATTGCTATTGCTTCGGCAAATTTCAAGAGGTTGGAGTTTGATCGTTTGTTAATCACCTTGAAGGACTTCAGTATATCAATTTCATGTCCTGTGTCAAGATGTCTTGCGATGGCACTACTGAATGTTTTTAATCCATTTAACCTTAAACTTTTCGGAATATGTTCTTTGAATCGGACGTAGGCTCTCCTTTCTGTTCTACCAATGTAACTGCTTTGGCAGGTACATGTAAATTTGTATACACAGTTGGTGGTAACATGAAAGGGATACCTGTCGACCTTTGATTGTGTCAAAGAACATGTTGTTTTGGACAGGACAAAGGTGACATGTCACAGGATCAATCAATATGAGACTAAAAACTGCACTGACAAGAACTTATCCTGCAGCGAAATTGATAGTCAGATGAGCAATAGGTTAAGAGGTTAAAATAAATGAAACCCAACTATCGGGTTTCATGTTCGAATTTAATTTCACTTACTACAATTCGGGCAGTAGGGTAGTATTGCTTACAGTTACACATGAGTACTATGGCTACAAGAATACAATGTAAACTTGCACTAGTTATTTGTTAACTTATATCATCACTGAGAAATTGGAAAGTGTCTTACATTTAGTTGAAAACAATGACAATTAGGTTGATATATGCTAGATGACCTGGTTTCTTTAATGCAGATGAACTATGGAAAGCATCAGTGTAGACTAAAAACCACCTTACAAATGAAGTACGTACACTTGACTTTTACATATATTAATACATATTAATAAAAAAAGACTAAAGAAATGTAAGGTTGAGCCGATATAGAGATTTGTGGCAGATTTAGTTAGGTAACTGAAGTGGATGAACGTTCTTTCACAAGCTAACGCACAGCGTAAATTCCAGTCTCAGTTGTAAACAACTGGTCAGAAAAATTCGATAGTTACAAATTGAAAGATTTTACAAACAAATTATTTATTATACATTTTAGAAGACTCACATGTCTTTTGAAAAATTTGTGCCGTTTAATTTCCTCCATATCTTCTTTGCTTCCTAGTCTTTCATTTGGGTCACGTTTCAACAAGCCACGTATGAGACTGGTAACTTCTGATGAGAATGATGGTGGAAATTTTAAAGGAGCTGTGAGTATCTACAACAAATAATCAATCTAAATTAATGCTTACTTTGCGTGTGGTAGCTTCACGACTTTCCTCCTGGCTAAATGGTGGCTACATTATTAGTCACATTAAGTAAAAGAACTTACCGCGCCAGATAGCATATCGTAGATTAAAGTTCCAAGACTCCACCAGTCTACTGCTTTTCCATGACCTTCACATCGGATTATTTCAGGGGCCCTGAACCATGAGTAAAGATTTGAACTTACATATACTCAATCGTTCCGCAGAATGTATTGGTAGTGCACACACCCTCTTTTGAAAGCCCGAAGTCAGTAAGCTTTACGTGACCCTGGCGGTCCAACAACACATTTTCAGACTTTAAATCCCTGTATATTATACCCAACGAATGCAGATGCCCAATAGCTAGAACAATTTCAGAAGCGTAAAAACTATTTCCAACATAGAGCTGAACGTATTTCTTACCACGCAGCATTTTCTAACAAAGCTCCTTCACGTTCCAAGTAGTTAAACAGTTCTCCTCCGTGGCAATATTCTAGCACAATGTACAAGTTGGAGTGATTTTGAAAAGCATAATGAAGTTTCACCAGGAAAGGGTGCTAAGACTATTAAGCAAATGAAACTGGTACCTGTAACATTTCAAGGATATTCCTTTCAGAAACAGTGTGTGCCTTATCCTTTTCATTGCACACTAGTCTGGCCTTCTTTAAAACCTTCATGGCATAGAGTTTTCCTTGATCAATGCCATCAACCTTCTGAACTAGAAAAACCTGCACACTAAGGCAGAGAAGCTCCACGAACCTTTCCGTAGCCTCCTTTGCCAATGACACGTTGAATTTTGAAGTTTTCTGCATTAACACGATTATTCGGATTGACAGTCTTCTGACAAATCTCGACAGTTTCTTGAGTCGTTATCTCTCTGAAACCCGAATGACAAGTTTTAAAGGGACTCACTCTTTTTTCTCCGAACAGATCCATTCCTTTGACTGTTATGAAAAGTAAGAATTGGAAATATGATTTACCGATTGATCTGAAGACATGGTATTATTTTTTTCCGGAGACGATAGGTTAGATCTTTCTGCTTCATCGTCTCTACACTCATCATCATTTTCAAGTTCAGCAGATAAAAAGTCAATCTCTGCCATCCACTACAAGAGGGAAAACTGAAGAGCTGCTCAGTGACAAATGCACATCTTCAAACACGCGCTGTTAGTAGAATTAAGCGGCAGTTGCGTATTATTTTTTATGACGGCAGCTAGACATCAATTATTTGGTCATTTCTAGAGAGCAATCGATTCGTATTTGAAAAATCAATAGTAACATAATTTGTGATACCATCCCTTGTACCTATCACACTGCACGTAATCTCTAATAGTGGAGAGAAACATTGGTTGACCGCATCGACGACATTTTTGATCGATGTTATTGAGGACGCGTTCTAACCTTTATCACTCGGTTAGATTTCCGCGTTTAAAAACATACTTTTTTAAAAGTTCATAAGGTCCCCAAACATCACTAGTAAACATACTAGGTGCGACGTACCTGTTGAAATCGCGTGGTAGTGCTTTCGCTATTGCGAGGAATCGTGCAGGTGAATCGTTCACGACGTGCTCGTAGAAGTTAGCTCCTGCGCAGCAGAATCAGACTTCGATGTTGCCGGGCCAGAATGACATTATCTGGAATGAGGGTGATGTAAAAGTCTTGATATTAAGTAACCTAGGAGTCTGTACAGTCATGACGAATAAAAAGCGTAGGAATGAACAAGGGGGGAAAATATCCGAACATACGAAAAAATATCACAATATATAAAAATTAGGGTAAAGCAATGATATTTAAAGTTTCAAAATGGAATAGACACACAATTTACGATCTGGTGAACCAGATCTTACCGAGCTCATCACTGAAGATACCACATGTATTCGGAGTTTGACAACACATTAAGCAGTAACATCTACAGCTGAAACGTCCTCACCTAATGAAATCTGGAGTCAGAAGCGAAGAAGTTCGAAGAAATACCCGATAGGTTATCAATATGTCAAGAAGTGACTGTTCTAAACTGGTTAGCAGTTGCCGAAGTTGAGCACATCGTTCCCACTCGCTATCTGATATGGGTGCGTGACCGAGCGCCTTCAGTCAGGTGAGTCCATTAAAATCAATGTGGTGAGCATCAAATATCGAAGAATTATGGAGCTATCGATTTCGGGGATTTATTTACTGCAACGTATGTTTACAAAGATACGCACCAACCGAAAAACTTCAACCACCCGAGCTCCCAAGTTAAAGGAAATTTTGAGGTATTTTGGGAAAACTCCCGAAGTCGAATGACCTTCATCAATGTTTGGGGGGAATTTGGGGAACTTTGGGGAATTTCCTCAGGTCTGGGGAAATTTTGGGGTTTAAGTGCCATTTCTCCAAAGTTTGCCATAGCGGCTTCCCCAAAGTTTTTCCAGAATGGGTCAAATTTTCCCCAAAATTGGGAGCTTGGGCGGTAAAAGTTGAAATAAAATGGTTTTTGAAAAGTGGATTCAAATAGATCTTGAAGCGTTATGCGTGAATTGTAATCTAACTTCTGGTACGATAAACGCAAGATAAATCTAATGTCTCAACACGTAGAAAATTTTACTTCTTTCTATCAAATTGCGCGCCTAGGTGTTCTAACCCACTATAATTTTTCTTTTACTGGTGAAAATACATATTTTCTACTAGAAGACATCGGTGATACCGTTCTTTTAGATCAGGAATCATTTAAATACAGTATCCCTCTATTCTATTCACAACCATTTGAACTATTTGATGACGCGGTTGGTTAATTGGTACTCTACTGTGGACTCTCACTATGCTATTGTCAAGGCCGATTAGTAGTAAATTCAAAGGATTCGCCAGTTTATTGAGGCAGTTCCGCTCATCGTTTAATTCACATTCTGATTTGGAGAATGGGAAGTTGGTCAACGTTGGTATGTGGGTTTCACGTTCATCGACTTTTAGTCGTTGTTTCCAACTCGAATTCTACTAAAAAATGGCCGAATACTAAACTTGGACCAATAGAAGCTGTCAATCCAAAATATCCGTTGCCTGGGTTTGTAGGGATTCCGTTAGTGAAGGATGAGAAACCTTTGGAAAAGAAATACACACCTGCGGTGCATACATTACCTCCAATGAAGGAGGAGAACTATGCTGCAGCTCTTTTGAATGTTTACAATGAAAAAGAGGTGAGCATGTCATTGGTTGTCGCTCATAAATTTTTGGGTGAATGGGGAGGGGTAGGTTAGTGATACATGTATTCTCAAGTTTTTGAGGGAGGTGTGATTTTTAAATTCTTTGCGGGTGTGTATTTCTGCCGTGTTAGTAGATGTTAGTGATTCTAGGCGTTATATGAAGTATTTCACCGTGAGGAAGCTTTTGTAGCTTTTCTCCTTTCAACGGAACCAAATCGTTTATAGGCATGCAAACTATTCGGTACGTGGACAAGATCCAAATTTTATTCGGCCTCACGGTATCGATGTGGTCCGGGATCCGAGAACAAATCGAGGAACTGCATTCACTCTTAATGAGCGACAATTACTCGGTATACACGGGCTACTCCCAACTTCTGTATTAACTCTGGACAAACAGGTCTCAAAACTGATGGCCAATCTAAAGAATATGAACGATAATTTGCAGCGCTACGTTTATCTTACTTCATTACAAGACCGAAACGAGGCTTTATTTTATAAGCTTGTTATTGAGCATGTGGAATATTGTATGCCGTTGATATATACACCAACTGTTGGTTTAGCTTGTCAACGCTATAGTGTAGTATTTCGACGACCTCGATCGACAACATATACCCGCGATTCTAAATAACTGGCCTGAACCGATCGTAAAGGCTATCGTATTTACTGATGGTGAGCCTATTCTTGGTTTGGGTGATTTGGGAGCATATGGTATGGGAATACCCATTGGGAAACTGTCGTTATACACAGCACTGGCTGGTGTTCATCCGAAGCATTGTTTACCAATCCTTTTAGATGTCGGGACAGATAATCAAGAATTACTGAGTGATCCTGTATATACGGGTATCAGACATAAGCGTATACGCGATGAACGCTATGATGAGTTAAACCATATGCCTAATCTCCCTATTTTGGGGGAAATTTTGTCCATTTAGGGTAAATTTTTGGGAAGCCACAATGAAGAACTTTACGAAAATGGCAAAAAACCCCGAAATCTCCACATGTCTGGGGAGAATCCCCAAAGTTTCAGGGGAATACCCAACATATTCGGGGAGATTTTGGGTTTTCAATATTTCCATAGGATCCTATGACACTTCGTTTTTTTTTCCAAAACTACCAAATTTCTTACGGCTGTGGGGAAATCCTAAAGTAGAGAGACTAGGTAGATATAAAATTAAGTTATATGGTTTAGAATCAGACATATTCGTAAACATTTGTCTATTTCCTATCTTGAAGACAAATATCCGAAGTATTTTATTCCTCAGCACATTCATTTTTTCCAGACTCATGAGTCTGTTTAATTCTTTAGGTATCTTTGGTATTATTGTTCCTTCGATTCACCAAAGTTTAAGATCGTTTGTATGTCGTAGTTCTAGTGTAAAATGTGGCAACTTGGATCGATACGCATTTGTGTTAGGCTTTACGGTATCTATGATTGACTGATCAATAAAATAGCCGGCGACTTGAAAACTTCCGGATTAACAAAGTTCTTATACAAATATCTAAAGGAAATATAACATCAGAAGTTAGGTAACACAATACGTTAGTTCATATGGTGTAGTCTACCCAGGTGAAATTCTAGTCTTGTCGCAGTTCAGGATGATACCAAAGGGAATGCTATCTTAGATTGACTATTGCGTTGTTCTGTGTAAAAGCCACAAGAGTTTTCAGTACGGCCATATATAACTTACTATGTATTATTCCACTGTAAAGTAGTTAGTGTATTTGTTTCTTGCGTGAATAGAAAAATGTCAGCATAAAATTGTGAGCATCAAATAAATGCTTCAGACGATAAGTCGTTAGGAAAAGTATAATTTAACTTGTTTCTCTTTCTTTCGTTAACATTCCCATGTCTGTCATGTTTTTCTGTTTCTAAGTACCGCTTGGGAGAAGTTTAATTGATTTAGACTTAACCCTTCAAGAAGATTTCCCAAGTTTGATATGACCCCTGTTTGTAAGATTGATAAATTTCGGTTTGCACTTAAGGGGCCCAAACACTTATTAATGGGGCGCATAAAAACATACTAAGTCGGGCAAGCTGGATACTTTTGAAGATACTGTATCTCTAAATGGAACATGCGAGAAATAAAAATAAAATGTTCATTATATCGATTTAAAGTGATTTCACCTTAGGCATAGCACTTTCGTGGTTCCCCTTCATTAACTTTCACCATTTGTCACGTGTATTTAGTAATTTGATTCTAAATGCATTTTCCTATGATTGTTTGCTTCATATTGATTTTGTATTCAGTGACTTACTTGGTTCATAAAACTAATTAATAACCATAATTGATATGTAACCGGAGTGGGTTGAATGTACACTCAAGCTTCTTTGGTCTTGTCTTGCAAATCTTAACATGATCCGCCTTTTGAAGTAGCTGGGGGGGGGCTAAAGCGAGTATAGCAGTTGTATACGGTACCCCATCTGTTATTAGTTACCACTGGATATCCGGTTTCACAACATGAAATGCAATATATTTCTAATCAAGATACTGACAGACGTCATTGAATAATGAAACTATCATCCGACGATGCATGTTAGTAGCACCAGCTTATCGGTGAGATGTGTGCAAGTGCGAGTCACAATGAGGAATCGTTCTGCTTATTATGATGAGTAATACTAATTAGAGATTTGCATCTGAAATGAGGTCTGTGGTTCAAGCTCATACACAAAACCGCCGCTTGTTCATAAGTGTAGGCTGAACCAAAAAGCGAGTATTTCGCATGCAAAATTTCAGATTATGAAACTTATTCTATGTCAACGGCAAACAAAATTCAGTTAGTATTTCTTTTTGAATCGTTCATGTCGGCTATTTACATCTTTCAATTTGATTGGTGTCACATCAATAACATGGTCAACTAACTCATTGTCAGTAAAAGATCGAGTAGCCAACAAAGTAAACTGTCATCCAAATGCTATAAAACCTTCGAAATGTCTTCAAAGTATATTATTGGACACCGAAATGTGACAACCTTGGGATATAGTGTGTCTAATGTCGACGAGTAAGCAAAGCCTCTCAGGTTATTTTGATAGTAAATTTAGTTCGATGTCGAGATCTACCTTTTAAGATTTTGCTGCAAAGCATCAGATTTCTAAATATCGATATACAAAATGTGGAAGTCTATGGGATGATATTCGTGCTACATTTCCAAGTCTCCGAAGCCGATATTTCAAGATGACGATACCAAGTGAGTTGTCTTTACTGTGCCTAAACTAGATGTTACCGGGTACCAGCAATCCTCCGGAGACAACGGTGATCGAGCACGGTCACCGAACATCCTCAAATTAGAGACCAGGTTTCGCAAGCATAGAGGAGAACTGGTCACCGAAGCGTTGTAGACCCAACCTTATACAACCAGACTAACACCACAATGGCTTCAAAGATTTCTAAGATTAGTGAAATCCGCTTGAGGTTTCATTATATGTTGATTGGTTTCATTGGACACACCAATACCGTCACACACAGCTTCTCAGGTACATAGAGTTTCGACAACTTCTAACGACTCATCATCAAGTATGAATGATGGCATATGCTGCTGTAGACTTTAGTTATTACTAATATCTATTCATTGACTTACCGTAAGTAGTGGTCACGATGTTATCCTTTGTTTATTACTCTAATCACTTTTGACTTGTCTTTTTCAAAACATTCTTGTTACTGTTGTTACCGCTATTATTTTTATTTCCACTTTTTGGATATCCCATTATATTCTCTATAAATTAGAAAACTAGAAGGATACACGTATGCTTCTATCTGTGCCTCTTTGTTTAACTAAAAAGCTGCTTAATCACATTATTTTAGAAATAGCTGTTTTGTCGCATAGCTGCTTTCATGTTTTAATGAAGATTACAGTTCGTCAGACTCTTTTGTTAACTTATCTAAATTTACTTATTTTTTACCAACTAGTTCAGTGAATCTCAGCCCTCAATAATTCCACCGGTATCGGATCAACTTGAATGTACCATACACACCTGTCCAGTGCTAGTTCAGCAAAGTTAGTTGTATCTACTTTGTTTTCTATAAACTCTCTTATACTTAAATATAAATTTTAGCTTTAGCTAATGTGTTCCCATCGAGAAAACTTTCATCAAAACCTTTAACAGCACTAATTCTTAGTCATCACACCAATGAATCGTTAGATACATGGAGTGAAGAAGCTGCTGATGAACGTGAACAGTTAGCACTATCTGTAAGTGTTTGAAAATATTTTTAAATCATAAAATAATATTCAGTTTATTACTTCAGCAATAGAAATATGCTCGTCTTTAAAAGAATTGGGCTATTGGGCAGATTTTATTGATCCCTTCACTGGGAAACCGGTTTGTTTTTCGTAATAAATTCTAATAAACTTTTTAATAATAATTTCAGTATATTGGATCACATGGTGAAGCTATGCTCACAGAAACCGATGAAACTATGAAACATTTTGGATTTGATCTAGACAATTCTGTTTGTTGTAAAATATTACGTCATCCAAAGTGGAAGAATCATGTATTTGTTGGATTAATATTCACAGATGCACCAGACTATCATCCAGTACTAATGCATATTTAACTAATATCTTTACAAAAAAGTTCTTTTACCTCTATTACTCTTCTTGTTAAATTGTTTTGATCTTTAAGAACAATTGTACTTTAATTCTACTTTTGTGACATTATAGAATATATATCTATATAAAAACTTGAAGTATGTTTTATATATTTTCATTAAACGATTCATTATAAGAAAATTTACTGATGTGTTGAATAATTCAAATGTGTAAATGTTTCACTAGTTGCTTCTTCTTCTTCTTCTTACTGGTAATTATTGATATTATAATATTATTGTTAATAACCCCCGAATTCCCTAGTCCAACCGAGAGTGGAAGAGTCCGCTTTCCCTCTTGAAATACTCTCACGTTATCACGTTCATACAACCACCACCAGGGAAGTCCTACTTGCTGCCTTCTCGTGGTGGGGGTGCTGTTTACGAAATTGAGAGGACGAAAAGTGAATGTCCGGCACTTTAACCGGGTCGGTAGATATTGAGGATCCACCTAGGGAAGTTGGAAAGCCCTGATTACAAACCATTAGTGCACATGGGCTCCAGGATCCCGAGGGAACAAATGACGTATGAACCAATCGTTGGTCACCGGCTATCATATGACTGCATCTCCTCACGATGCTCCACTGCCTTGTGGAACATACCTTTAGGTCGAAGGCTCCGGTGTGTGGCCCCCTTAGAAAACCACCTGTTTCAGTTTGGGCACTCGGCTAGTATTCTAGCCCTCACACATCGAGTGATTTATGTAGCGGATATCTGTTTGGTACATCCTTGTGCCAATGTTTATGTGTTTAAATAAATAAGTAATTATTATTATTACATTAAAGTAGATATTTATCTAATACAATTCTAATTCTTCCTAGGATTATTTCGGTATTGAATATGATCAGAAAGTCGAAGTGATTAAACGTGAAGAAAATAAACGTAAAGCATCATTATCAACATCAAAAAGTAGTGTGCATGTGTATTTGTACATATATCTTATTTCATATTATTTTTTTAAAGATATTATTGATGAACAATATTTTGGTGTACATGATGATGATGTCAAGTTACATGCTAGAGAGAGTGTTAAATCTAAGAAGAATTCATCTGAAATAACAGTACTTCATTCAAAGACATCTCATTTAGATGATTTATGTGAGATCGACTCACAATATTTTGGTAATGAACTTTCTTTTTATTATTATTATCATTATGTTTTCAAAGTGATATATGTTTGGATTTTATAACGTTATTATTATTACTAAAGGGGTTTATGGACTGATTTTAGTTACACAGTTATTGTCTAATAATTATGTGCTCAGCAGTTACCGATTCCAAGAAATAATTCTCCAAGTTCTTGTCACAAGTAGTGACCCTGATCCCAAACCAATGGTGCACATTGGGCCCCAGGATTTTGAGAGAACAAATGGTATATGGACCTTTTATTGGGCACCGGATACCATGTGACTGCATCTTCTAACGTTGCTCCACTGTCTTGTGGATTAGACCTCTAGGTCGAAGGCTTCGGGTATGGAGAAAACTACCTGCTTCCGTTTGGGCACTCAGGCAGTATCACAGCCCACACACAAATAGAATGAAATAATAAAATGAAAACTAAACCTCAAGCAAATTAACACGGAATAATCATTTAATAATAACATAAAGGTGCTGGTAGCATATACAAGTGCATATTGTAACAATATGTGTAAAATTGTAACTGCGTTTAGAGAAAACAGTATTTTGGAGCTACATAAATCTAGAATCTGCAATCTCAATATCTCTTGACATCTCCAAAACTTTAACACGGGTCATGCTAACTTATCTGTGTTGATTAGAACTCCTACAAGTATTCATTCCCAAACTGGCTAGTTATTCCCGGTTTCTGTTTTCAAACACATTGCATATTAATTGTCTTTGCTATGAAGAGGGGTTTCAACCACTAAGATGTGCGATTTTTAAGGTGTGTTGAAGCCTTCACCATACAAAGTATCAAACTTAGGTGGTCAAAAAACAGTTTGTTCTCATTTAGAACCTACCCTGGTAATGCTGATTTATTATCCAGAGCAATGTCCACGTTCTACTAATTATCTTTATTCGCTCTTCAGATTTGTCTAGTTTGACCTTTCATTTTTCAGATATAAATGTTCTTACAAGCAAATATGTCGTCAGATTATCATAAATGTGTTGCGCTAATAAGTCACACATCATGAACATCTTACCCTTGTATGACATAAGTTTATCATCTCATTACTTACTGGTGATGCTATTACTACCTCTATTATTCTGGGATTTAGCCTGAGAGTTTCATCTTTCTGTGCTAATGGGGTATGGCAACTTGAGCCCATGTACATACGTACCGGGTTTTACGTTGTGATTGAATGAATGACTGATAAGTTTATCAAAGAGATTGTTTTGAGTATGGCATTATTTTTTTGTTGAGTGAATCATTCCAGGGTATTTATGTTCTTGCACTAATATTATATATATATCCATAGGACAGAAGGGATTTAGCTAGTCTTTTAATTAAATCCTTTTTTCTTCACTTATTAATGTACATAGGCTCCACAGGATCTAATACAAATCCAATAGAAAATGTCAGCTCAGTAGTTAACAATACTACTAATCCATTGATAATTTCACAGCCTAAAATTAGGACTGGTAAAAAGCATATTCCTCATCCTGCTACTACTATTACTAATACTAATACACATACTGATATTACTTTGAAAAGTAATGCAAATCTAAGAAAACAGGAAAAATTGGTCCCTGGGACCAAGACTGTTCGGGTTGATAATAATGTACGCCGAAATAATAATGATTCATTGAGACTTAACAAAAATGATAATGATAGTCGTTACGATGATGATGTTGAATATGGATCAGATGCAGTTAGAATTATCCGACAAAGAACCAAGTTAAATCTATACACTGGTACTAGTAAGTTTTTTATTGAGTTTATTGTCATGTGTTATGTAATGATGGATACAGTTTTGCTCGTACATGGATGCATACTTTTATATTTAAATAGCTCAAAATTGGTTTCACTAGGTGCTCAAATGCATTCATTCTTTCTCGATTCTTCTAAACTTTTATATTCCCAACAGATAATCCTGTTTATGTAGTGATAGCAATGACCCTGGAGACGTAAAATCTAAGACCAAAAGCGAGAACATCCTATCAGAATTTAACAGAGGTCAGGGTGGTAATGTAGGTTAGGATTTATTCAAGGACCTCCTTATTCATCAGTACTACAATTTACTAGTAATAGAGGAAAACTAGGCAATTTTGATAAACGGGTTGTGGGTAGCAGTAGAATCTAGGATACACGTCTCGTCCTACTTGGGACACTTCATCTGAATCTATCTCCACCCCAGTATTGATGTCCATATTGGAACTCAATGTCCAAATAACCGCTAATTTGTTCAACGGGTATGACACGTATCTTTTTTAGTAAGGACTTGAGTCATTTCGCTGTCAATATCTTTGGTTAAATTCTAATCAGTCTTTATTATAATGTATTAGTATTTAGAGCGTTAGGTGCTGGGTTCAAGTGTCAATGTGAACATCAACACTAAGACGTGGTACATATAATCATCTGATGAGTCTTATTTAGGATGGGACATGCGTGCTAGATCCTACTCAGATCACAATTTAAATGTATATGTATATTAACCATGATTATACTGTTTTAAAGATAAATACACTCAATTTTCGGGTCACTTTTTAGCCTTAGATATACCATCAAATAAATCGACAGCGTCGGTCCCAGAAAAATTGGATAGTCAAGGATATCGTGTCCCGGATGAAGATCCATATAAATTTGATTTATTAACTGAAGAAGAAGCTGCAACGGTATTGTATAAATCAATTATAGAAATAAGAGGTTTGTCGAAAAATCTCAATTTACAACTAATTTCACTGTTTGTTTTCTCTATTTCTAAAGTTACTTGTGGGTAATGACGGACTGAGCAACTTCAAGGATGGATTACAGAAAGTATAATAGGAAGCCGTTATTTATTTATTTGAACACAAAAATATTAGTACAAAGGGGCACCGGATACCAATGCGTCACAAAAGTCACTTTACTTATATGTGGGCTATGATACTTCACGGTTGCCCAAACCGAGGCAGGTGGTTCGCTTAGAGGGCCACACCCCGGAGTCTTCGACCTAAAGGTCTGATCCACAAGGCAGTGGAGCATCGTGAGGAGATGCAGTCACATGGTAGCCGGTGACCAACGAATGGTCCATACGCCATTTGTTTCTTCAGGATACTGGAGCTCATGTGCACTATTGGTTTGGAATCAGGGTTTTTCAACTTCCATAGGTGGACTCTCCATGTCCACCGACCCAGTTAAAGTGCCGGACATTCACTTTTCGTCCTCTCAATTTCGTAAACAACACCCCAGCCACTAGGAGGCAATAAGTAGGACTTCCCTGGCAGAGGCTATATACACGTGGCCATATGAGAGTGTTTCGAGAGGGAGAGCGGGCTCTCCCTCAGTCAGTCAAGTTGGTTGTTAACAAGGTAGAATTTCATTGGTTGCATATTTAGTGCAACTTTAAACCGAAATATCCTGATTGGTGTATCTCAGCTAATCAGCGCTAGTGGATAGGTCGATAATATATCAGAGACTTCTGTTGATTATATATAAGCCCTTCTGTTTTCTTTAGGCTTTCCGCTTATTTGAGATATTTCTTGTTCCCGTCCCGTCTTTTTTCTGATTCGGGACGAGTCGAATAAGGTTCAACCCCAGTGGGATGACATACAAGTGAGAACATAACGTCGAATCCGAAACAATTCTTGTCCTTGATGGCCAATGTGTTTATTTATAACCAATTGACCGAAATTCTAAATATGGGCCATTACATTCCAATTCTGTTTTTAAAAGAAGAGGTATTTTTCTTACCGATAATGTGCAGTATATTAGGTAGGAACTTAAGGTACTTCAACTCTCGTTGGAAACAGAAACGTTCAAATTACTACCATAATTCAGTGTGTGTATTCTGATTTTCAAACCTTAGTCAGTTAGTGCGTCATGATAATAGTACCAACAATAATAATAATGTTAATAATAATATTCAACCAATGTCATTAATTAGCCTCTCTATCTCACTACCTACTTGATTGACTATGACTAGATACAGCTGTTTCACTGGAGCTCGAAGTCAGCATATGACATTGTCTACGTCATATGGTTGGCGGTTGCCTGTCAGAAACCTTACATGACCTAGGTTATGTGTCAGTTAGCGCTCATTAGCAATGTGTACCTAGAATCGTTAGGGAACTGATGTTCCTATAGGAGTGGAATCTACGTCACTCAGCATTACAATTTGAGATGTTACCGTCGAACTATTCGGATATGAAGTGATCTTCTGTCTATGCAAACTTTTTTTATAGTTTAAAAATAATCATTTTCCATTTCAAACATTACTTTTTATTCTTTTATCTCCTATAAAATCGGAAATAGAAAATGTGATCACTTTGAATAAACCATATGGAATAGCATCTCAACGTGAGTCCATTTTTCTGTTCATACAAATATCATAGGTGTTTCTTCTCAGATGATACATATTAATTATTTGTCTCATATTTTACATATATTTTACTATGCGATGGAATTTTCCCACTGTTAAACTCAGTAACTCTTGAGTATTGATAGAAGTGTGTAAGTGGCTGCCACTTCCTAATTGCCTGCACCATTATTCTTCTTAAGGCAGTAGTTGCCCTGGCGATCTGGAAGGTTGACTACAGAATCCGAGAAACAGCTACCTAAAACTAGTTACACACAGCTTACACACTCTTTTTCAACATACTCCCTCGCAAGCGAGAATTACATGTTAAGGCAAGGTAGATGGTAATTCGATATACTTAGCATATATCTTGACTACCTCAATGGATAAACATTTACAACCTCATCAACCATCTCTACGTAGTTCTCTGCGTCTGATTTCAGCATTATTTACTTGGTAGTCCCAAAATACATGAATAATGCGTCAAAGGCATATATATATATCCATTATGCCATCTCAAAGCATTACTTATTTGTATATTTTTTAGCTGGAGCTGATTGTAAACATAATATTGTTGATTTATTACCGCGTATTGAATCAATGATAAGAAAACGAAGTCATCATGGCAATCATGGGAAAGGTGAAGAAAAATGCATTGGTGAACTGTCAACTGTTCATCGATTAGACAAAGATTCCAGTGGAATTATATTAATAGCTAGGTAAGGAAAGTATATATATATATATATATATATATATATATATATATATATATTCTCAAATGGTAGATTAGTAAAGTTCACTCATTCAACTTTTAACCATATGGTTAGCGGGGTTGAACCACTACTAAAACACATCGGTCTGGATAAATAATAGTACTAGTAGTGGTATCACTACCTCCTCATTCATATAGTGTGGCTCTAAGTAACTTCTTTACTTGGTAGACAAGTTACTTTACACTCTGATTTGCGCGTGTTTGTTTAATGTGTTATTATGATGAATTCTGCACTCATTGGGTTATAGAGTAGTCATTGACTATACAGTTGGTTCGAGCCCATCATGATAATTGAGAAAGTAACGAGGCCTTTAGTAACAACACAATTTCTGTGTTCTTAAGAAAAGATAAAATGTATAAATAATGGTAGATACTGAACAACAGAGAACAAAACAACCTCATAAACAATTAAGTTATCGAAATGGGGTAAAAAGCAAGTGTGTACATGAAAATACGATTTTCAAGTCGACGAAAAGTAAAGTTTTGTATTCGGCAACTTGAAACTTGCCATATTTAATTATTCCTGTTTTATTTCATTTCGTTCCGATAAGTAATTAATATTATTGTGTATGAAATAGGTTTATATACTTAGTGGTTATGTATTACTTACTTAATAATACCCGTTACCCCTTGTAGTTCATGCCCTGTCGATCAGGTATCTCCAACCGACTCTGTTCTGGTCTTTCTTTTACAGTTGTTCCCAAGTACTGTTCATTCATCTGATGCCTGCTACCGATATCCGACACAATGTGTTCCTTGCTCTTCCTCTTTTCCTTTTCAGTTCAGGATTCTTAGGTAGGACTTGCCTCGTGATGCAGCTTAATGATTTCCGCAACGCGTGTCCTATCCACCTCCAACGTCTTTTCCTAATTTTCTCTTCAGATGGGAGCTGGCTTGTTCTTTGCCATAGTGAGTTGTTGCTAATGGTATCCGACCAACAAATATTAAGTATTTTGAGTAGAAAATTGTTTATAAATACTTGTTCGTTTTTGATGATGTTCGTAGTATTCTCCACGTTTCATCTTCGTACAGTAGAACTATCTTGACGTTCGTATTAAAGATTCTGGCTTTGATACAGACAGTTCTGAGTCTCATATATTTTCCAGCTGTAGGAATGTTGCCCTTGCTTTGGAAATCGTCCTCTTTACGTTTGCATCAGGTCCTCCTTCTTCATCGATAGTACTGTCCAGGTACATGAAAGTGTCCACCTATTTCAGAATTTCCCCATCAAGTGTGATTGTGTTTGTGTTCTCTATGTGTATTTGATGATCTTGCTTTTTCCCTTGTGTATGTTGAGGCCTACTGCTACAGAGGCTGCTGTTATACTGGTTCTCCTTACCTGCATTTGTTGGTGTGTATAGGATAAAAGACTTTAGTCCAAATCGTCTAGTTGCATCCAAGCTTTCCGTTAGGTGTCAAGGTCTTCATAACCTAGTCGACCACCAGAAGAAAGTGAAAGGGGAAGATTAGGCAGTCTTGTCACACACCGGTCTTCACTTGGAATGCATTTGTGAGCTGTCCCCCATGCACTGTATTCCGTCGTATGAATTTCGTATGATGTTGACGATGTTTTCAGATACACGTGGCCCGGATAGCTCAGTAGTAAAGTCTCTGGCTGTGAAGCTGGGTGACACGGGATCGAGTCCGTCAGGGAGCACCAGTTCCATCAAGATTACAGGTACACCCTGCTGACGAGTGCCAGGTAGCACGGAACCCGGGTCCAGGGTTTCCTGTCGACTACCTCCAACCACCATCTAATCTCATAATAGTTCCAGCAGTGTCGAGTCACGTAGACTGGTGACCACACTACATCATGGTCGATAGCATTCGAACTGCACTAACAATAAGGACTTGACACACATGACATTGGTCACCACCCAGTGATCAATCAATTGTGACTTTGTAGTGTTGCTTGTCCAATGCTCCAGTTCTTCTTTAGCGTCAGTTCCACCTAGGGTAATGATGAGGATATATCAACTTTTGTCTTTGTTTGCTCATCTTCCATGAATTTTCTGTATTTTTTTATTGATGCAGGTATGATTGATCTTGCTCTGTGTAATATACTCCAGTGGAATTCATGTAATTTTGTGTACGCGTTTGTTGGTCAAAACGATGTCACCTTTAACCATATTGTTGAAGGCGTTTAGATTTCCCAGTCTCTCAACACTCTCGTTCCTTTGTCCCATTCCATGTCGTCCTATGATGTCTTCATACTCGGTGTTATCTATGATGTCATTTAAATTTAAATTTCCCATCAGCATGGTCAGGTTCTTTCCTGAGTTTTTCTTTACCCTCGGTCGCAACCCGTCCTAAAACTGGTCTTTATCGTCTCCACTGCTATCATTGGTGGACGCATATCACTGGATAAAATTCATTAATATCCCTTTCTTTGTTTCTAAGGATGCTTTGATGATTCTGGATCCGTGAGATTCCAATGCTATAAGTGTTTTAAGTGCTTCTTTTGACAGCAGCATCACTGCTACTCTTTGTGTGTGCGAAGAATTTTCTTCCTCATGATCAGTGTAGGATCTCTCGAAACTATTCTTTTCCGTCCATCTTGTGTCCAATGGGCTTCACTTATTCCGAGAACCGCCAAGTTATCTCTATTCATTTCCTAAGCTATTCTATTGGTTCTCCTGGTCTCCCATATTGTGCGGATATTCCATGAACTTATATTAATTGTTACCCTGATTGTCAGAAAGGGGCATCATCGGCCTCGTGACTTCTTAGCTTTCACCATGAGGCGTCATAAAACTCTTTTAAGTGAAGACTCTTCATTTCCCAATTGAAATTTTAAATGGTTATAGTGATTTTTTCCAGCTAGTTTTTTAGCTAGATTTTCTTGTTTGGGCTGAGATTGTTAACCCTATGCCCAACCTTCCTCATCTGTGTAGGCTTGGGACAAACCGTAACCGCAAAGCAGTTTCAAGTGGAGTTGCATTTATGCGTATTACACTGATTATTAGTATAGATATTACAATTTTATAGGATATTAATTATGAACAGGGTAGCTCTACGGTAACATCTTTGATTATAACATGAGTTCAAATTTCATGAACATCGTTAATACTCTCATAATTGTAAATGCATCTCGCTAACTGACAACTGCCAGTTAAATTGACATTTATGCTCAGTGCTTCCTGTCAGTTATCTACAACCATTTCGTATCAAACATTTGGATTTAAAATTATAAGTAAACTAGATAAGCATAACGTTTGTCACTACCACTCAGTGGTCAATTAATATAACTATATCAGTTTTATAGGAGATCAACAGCATTGAAAATTGGGCATTAGTGACAGGTTCATGAAACTGATTGAACCGGGTTCGAATCCTATATACAACATTAGTCTCCTCAAGATTGTTGGTACATATTGTTGACAAGTACCAACTAGCACGCATATTTTACGGACTAACTCATATCACCTTATATATAAGACCACATTTTTTAACTGGCCATAAGATTCATGAACGAAATAAATTCAGTCAGTCAGTCAGTAACAACGTAGAACTTCGTACGTACGTACATCAGTTCGAGTTGCCACACCACATAAGCACAGAGATGCAGTTGTCGATTCAAATCCCGTAGTGGTAGAGGTAATAAGAGTATAAGCAGTAATCGGGAAGATTAGGGTTTGGAGATGTTATTTAAAGAGTATAATCCAGTGAAATAAATTTGGAAAGAGGAAAAAAGGGACATGAAGAATTCAGAAGATTAGAATTTGGGAGAACACAGAGAGTGGATGCACCTGCGCCATTGCAAACGATTTTGAGCCATGTCATTCAGGGTCTCTAACCATCAGTTGCTATCATCTCGCGGTCCCCAACCAGGTAGTCTACACCTACCAACATGACTCAGTCCACTTGTCAGTGACTTCATGGACTTGTGCCATGTTTTGGTCTGGCCGCCCCTAACTTTCTTCCAACCTACTCCTATACCACTGAACATAGCACGTCGAGGCAGTCGGTCGTTGGACATACGTAACACGTGTCCCAGCCACCTCAACTGATAAAGTTTCACTACTTCATCAATTGATTTGCTATCCTTACCTAGTACCCGTTTCCTAACAACTGTGTTACTTACTCGATGGTCCCATGATATACGAGCAATGTTTCGAAAACACCTATGATCAAATACTAGTAACCTACGAATATCCTCTACTCTTACCGGCCATGTTTCACTGCCATAAAGTAGGACGGAACGAACTACTGCGCAGTAAACACGTCCTTTGGTTGATAGACGGATATCTCGCCTACGCCATAAATGACGCAAGTTGGCAAAAGCTAGTCGAGCCTTCTGTATCCGTGCTGAGATTTCGTCACACACTAAACCACAAGGGCTGATGAGACTTCCAAGATAAGTGAAGCGGTCGACACACTCAACTACTTCACTCCCTATCACTAGTTCGGGTGTCGATGTAACCCAATCCTGAAGCAATATTTTGCATTTCGAGGGAGAGAATCGCATCCCGAACATGCTTGCATTGTTGCTTAGAGTGGTCAGAAGACTCTGCATTTTGTCAGCGTCTTCACCAAATAAAACTATGTCATCAGCATATTCTAAGTCAACAAGTGAACCTCCTGGTAGAAGTTCAACCCCTGGAAATTTAGATGAGGAGAGTGTTATCTCTAAAAGTACGTCAATGACAAAGTTGAACAAGAATGGGGAGAGTGGACAGCCCTGACGAACACCACTTGAGGTAATCAATTCCGATGACAGTTCGCCATAAGCTCTCACTCGACCAGTTGTGTTCGAGTAGAGAGCCTTTATAAGGTTAATGTACTTCTTTGGTACTCCTTTCAGTGACAAACACTGCCATAGAACCTCACGATCAATAGAGTCGAATGCCGCCTTAAGGTCGAGAAATACAACATTGTGGGTTGTCTGAATGTGTGTCTGTGTTCTAGAACCTGACGTAGTGTGAATATCTGATCTATACAAACCGGCCTGGTTTTCTCTCATCTGCTCTTCACGAGCTTTGATTAGGCGTCGAAGTATTATTGAGGCTAGTATTTTAGACACGATATTAGTCAAACTGATTCCTCTGTGATTGTCACAGGAGGACTTATGTCCTTTCTTATAGACTGGCACAATCAGTGATTGAGACCAGTCAGATGGGATTACGTCCAGTTCCCAAATTCTACCTAAGACCTCGGTTAATGTCATTGCTAATACTGGAAAACCATCCTTAAAAATCTCAGGAGTGAACCTGTCAGGGCCTGCTGCTCTCCCTCGTTTCAGATTTCCTATGGCTTTTTCAACTTCGTAAAGGGACGGAGGACCTGCATTAATTTGCCATTCAGGTTGACTAGAGATCGTGGGAAACCGAAGTGTGGCTGAAGGCCAGTTGAACTGACCCCTAAAGTGTTCTGCCCATCGATCCAATCTCCTGGATTGAGAATGAATAATATGTCCATCTTTCTCTGAGATTGTTTCGCTAACGGTCGGGTTCCTAATTCCGGTTTCCTTAACGAGTCTGAACAATTGTCTGCTATTACCTATTGCCGCTGCCTTTTCCATCTCTCTTGCTTTCGCTACCCACCACTGTTCGCGATCATTGCGTAGACTTCTTGTCAGCTTGCGCTTAAGCTGACTCCGATCTTCACTATGTTCAGAGCCAGGTGGAATGAGTTTCCGAGCATCTATCAGTGCGATAGATGCTGCTGAGATCCAGTGTTGCTCCCTAACCTTCTGGTTTACCTTACTAGCAGATATCACTGCTGTTTCCGCAGCTTTCCGGATATCATTCCATGCTGCCTCAGGGTGGGCATCACATACATGGCTGCCTAACTGTTTTCCTAGTTGTTCCTGAAATATACTCTTAGCTTGACTATCATTAAGTAGGGCCCTAAGAGGTTTCCTTGCAGCGTCTTTCCTACGTCCAGTAAGACGCAAGCAAATACGCGCTCGCACTAGAGCATGATCTGAATCTAGACATGTGCTCCAGAATGAGCGACAGTCTTCTATCGAGCCCCTCCATCGGTGGCTGATAGCGATGTGATCTATTTGGGTCCAACGTTGGGACGACTTAGGAGGTCGCCATGTTAAAAGATGTTTTTCCTTATGCTTAAAGTTAGTATTTGCAAGGAACAGGCGGTTATCTGAGCATAGCTGCAACAGACGGTCGCCATTATCTGTTCTTTGAGCCACGACACCATAAGATCCACCTAGGTGTCTTTCCCTATCGCTTAGTTTACCTACTTGAGCATTAAAGTGACCGGCCACTATTACGACATCCGAGCGTTTAGCTTTTCGGAGAAGGTCCGAAAGCTTTCTGTAAAACTCATCTTTTACATCATCTGAGCTGCAGTCAGTGGGAGAATAGGCAGAGACGACGAAGAGGCAACGACGAGTGTCCCTATCTTTCCGGATTCTTACTGCTCCGTTCAGTCGGACAGCGCACAAACGACTGTCTACTGGGATGCAGTCTAAGAGAGCTAGTTCTGCCCTAGAACTCAATGCTATACCTACGAGGGCGAGGCCACGGGAAGCACAATCAGGGCTTCCAGATACACGAAGCGTAAATCGAGTCGGTTCTTTATTTTGGCATGGTGAGGTCAAATGAATGACGCTACTTGGATCCTGTATGCGCGTTTCGGAGACGCAGCACACATCGATGGTGCGAGATTCTAAAGTTTTAGCTAAGGAAGCCTGCTGTCCTAATTGGCAAAGTGTTCGTACGTTAAAAGCTCCTACGTGTAGTTTAGAGCGTGGTTTCAGGAGACCAGGAATGGCGTTCCACGTACTCGAATCGTTTGCCCTAGCGGTGCGAGGTGATAAAGAGACGTGAGGAGGGTTAGTCGAGAAGATAAGAGAGGTATTAGGAGGTGTAGGAAGGATTTGAATGTGACCACCTTGGTCTCTTGTGCTGTTACGGGTATGAGGGCTGATGTCACTTCCAGGCTGCCCACACCGTGGAAGGGTATTTCTTGAGGAACCTGAGAAGGAAATTGGATTAGTGTTGGTCTTGACGACCTGGGAGCGTGACCGCAGAGCCCAAGGGACAACTGCTTGAGGCAGGTCGCGCACGGCCTTTTTGTGGAAGGTTTTTGACGTTAGCTCCGTTCTTCAAGGGGCCTTACCGCCGGAGACGGAGATCCGTGAGGTGTTTAAAGCATTCACTTTTCAATCATACTAAGTTGTATCACCTTCCACTTAGGTAATTTGATTCATGCAATTATTTCAAATCCCCTTTACACACTGTTTAAAATAATAGTACATTGATAAACTTATATTTGACTAATGACTTGTAATATACAAAAATGCAGGATTATAATCACATGTAAACTTGTAGGTATCATTGACTTGATAATTTCGAATCATTGATTTAGTATACAAAGAACTTCTGGTAAGAATTGTTAGTGATTGGTAAACTGATCAACTGACACTAGAATTGTTTGTTTCATATGAATGCTATAATCATAATCAGTCTATACTGTAAACAGCATGTGGTTTTTGTGTGATCAAATGTATATGGTCCACGTGGTGTTTTTCTTCGAAAAAAAACTCCTGTTTTGTTCATTCGAATTTCTCATACCAGGTTGTTATGATAGTCTCTGCAATAAGACTTTTTTGAACATCCAACATAATTACACACAAACATATATAACATTTAAATTCACTTGGTATTGTTTGCTTGAATCTTTTGATTGATGTTTAGGATTGCAATTGATTAGTCTCTTATTGGCATATTTACATTCTGTGCGTATTGACTCGATATTACCTTAGGTCACAAGTATTATAAGCTTGGATGGATGGTGGCTAGTAGTGGAATCCAGTTTGACGTGCGTTTCGTCCTATTTGGGACTCGTCAGCTGGCTGTTCTGTAATGCGCACATGCCCCCAAATACCCTGGTACGGCCGAGAGTGGGGAGAGCCCGCTCTCCCTCTCGAAACACTTTCATATGGCCACGTGCATATAGCCTCTGCCAGGGAAGTCCTACTTATTGCCTCCTAGTGGCTGGGGTGTTGTTTACGAAATTGAGAGGACGAAAAGTGAATGTCCGGCACTTTAACTGGGTCGGTGGACATGGAGAGTCCACCTAGGGAAGTTGGAAAACCCTGATTACAAACCAATAGTGCACATGAGCTCCAGTATCCTGAAGAAACAAATGGCGTATGAACCAATCGTTGGTCACCGGCTATCATGTGACTGCATCTCCTCACGATGCTCCACTGCCTTGTGGAACAGACCTTTAGGTCGAAGGCTACGGGGTGTGGCCCTCTGAGCAAACCACCTGTTTCAGTTTGGGCACTCAGGCAGTATCACAGCCCTCACACATCAAATGAGATATGTGTGGCGCATATTTATTTGGTGTCTTCTTGTACCAATATCTATGTGTTAAAATAAAATAAAATAAGTCGTAAACATCAGTGGGAAGATTCAAGCAGACAATATCAAGTGAATTAAAACTTCACCCTATTGCACAAGCAAGGGGCTATCAGGACTCAGTAACTAAGTGGAGAACGTGTTTAAAGCGAACGGTACTGAGTTCGGGTCTCGGAGTGAAAATCAACTCTGATGTGCAAGTACATCCAGCCGACGAGTTCCAACTAGGACAAAACGCGCGTCAAACTGGATTCCGCTGTCAGCCACCATCCATCTTTGCTTATATATGACATTTTTTATACAGTGTAACCTTTTGAATAAGTGTGATTCTTCAAAGGTAGTGATAATTAAGCAGGCATATCTTATCGAACTTTTCTATCCTGAAAAGACTAAGTTTTACAAATTTAGTGCAGAACTTCGTAGTACATCGTCCAGTTGTACATCTGACTGTTTTATGATTTGATGAACATTGAAACGTATCAGAAGGGGTTTTGTAGAGACTTTAGTAGTTTCAATAGTTGAGGTCATGAGTTAGTTGAAGCTAGACCACGATGGGAAACCTGGAAGCACTAGACGGCCGTTTCGTCTTAGCATGGGACTCCTCAGCAGTGCGCATCCATGACCCCGCCTCGCGAAATTCAAACCCAGAACTTTTCGGTCTCGCATGCGGACGCGTAACCTCTAGACCACTGAGCTGGCCGACATCCAACGGTGTTAATATCTACCTTCAACTAATCCATGAAATTAAGCGACACATCCACCATTGTCATCAGTGAGTTACTATCTCACAACTGACCCAGAGTTCTAGTGAGAAGCCATCACCAGTGAAGTTCACCCAGATCTGTTGTGAGATATCAGCTCACTGAAGACAATGGCGTACGGTGGCGCAATTTCGTGGATTGGTTGAATTTAGACATTAACACAGTTGGATGACGGCTCAGTGGTCTAATGGTTATGCGCTCGCGCGCGAGACCGGTAGATCCTGGGTTCGAATCTCGCGGGAGGCGGAATCGTGGATGCGCACTGCTGAGGAGTTCTACGCTAGGAAGAAACAGCCGTCTAGTGCTTCCAGGTTTTCCATGGTGGTCTATCTTCAAGTGACTTTCGATCTCAACTATTGAAACAGTTTTTAAATAGCGTCTTCTATGTATAACAGAAATCATTCTAATGTTCACCAATATTGATTTATCATCATTAATATTCATAGCTATTTATCATTTATATTATGTAATCGTTTTATCAATTTCTCTTGATAAGAAATAAAGATTCTGCATTAAAACTTCAAGAGGCATTTGCAAGACGTTGGATTAAAAAAGATTATTTATGTATTACTGTTGGTATACCAAGATCAGATTATGGTTATATACAATTGCCATTAGTTGAACGAAATTTCAATGGAATTCGTAAAGTAAATTAACGTTTTTGTTTTGTTGTTGTGTGTTTTCTTTTCTATAAAAATAATCTATCCAATTTATTCCATTAATAAAGTATCTTTCTACCAAGTACAAAGGTATCTCCATGAAATGAGCTGTGAAACACTAAAAAAATCACTTCATTTAAAATCTAGTTGACTGTAATCAAGATACATTCCAGAGAGTAGACCAAGATTAGCATTATTTCATGAATTTGCTGATTGTTGGATTGAATCGTGTAGAGAAATACAGACTACTACTTGATTGAGTGGATTACATGAAACTCTCTTAACTAATGATAATTGTAGTACATTAGTTGATATAGCTCAGAATGAATCATAATGCTATAGAAAGATACACTTGTTATCTTCCTTTAGATCTTGAGTTTTAAAATGTTTATTGTTGAGTCGGCTTTCGGAGAACTTCAACGGAGCCTTCAGAGGCCCAAAAGGAGCCGAAGAGTCCTAGCCAATCACAACACGATGGAGAATTCTAGAATTCCAAAGTGGCGTGCTACTATTGGTCAGTAGCATAATATGTCGCTAACGGATTGGCCAAAATATGATGTTGATTTAACAAACGCTAACATCTATAAATCCCCATGATTTTCTGTACAAAAACGAACCTTGGAGTAAAGTATTTTCTCTCATACTTGCGTCTTCTCTCTGGTGTTCAAGTCGCTGTGTAGTTCTAGCCTGTGGGTTACCAGAATAGCTTGGGAAAACGAATATAGCGTTCAATCGACAAGACTTATGATTTATGCCTTTTATTATGCTACTTGATTGTTTTTTCCCTCTAATCATGTTGTATATAATTAGTGTTTTCTACTATCAGTAATACTGTAGTGAACGAGAAAACAAGCGGGGACAATTGAATGTATTTAAACACAAAATTACAGAGCATCTTAGTACAATCTAAGATCCATACAGTAAATACTTCCTTTGCAAAATGTCAATTAATTGTCTCAGACTTCATTGTTCTTTCGTTTCCACACCAATTATCCTCTGTTCTCGTTCTCTTTTCTTTGATCTTCTTAAATGCCACCAGGCATTTCACTTTCAATTGATGGTACATACTACTTATATCTGTCAACATCAGTAGCACACATTTGAATACTGTTATTATTCTTACTACTCTAGCATAACTGTCTTGATAATTTCATCTCATTGTACAACTAATATGATGTGACAACTTGAACTGATCCTGATATATGCCACATTTTACACCAATTATGACTAACTAATTAACATATTCCGAAAATTTCTGATATGAATTCGTAACTGGTAAATTTTAACCGGGTTTATATTGAGATGGATGTCATTTTTAACAAGTATTGTTCAATGAAAACCAAATAAACACTTTCACTGTTATGATAATTATTATTAGTTATATAATAAACCCTTATGAGCTAGGGTAATTTTATATTGGTTTTCAAGAGAACTGGACACTTTCCAAACTTTCACGTGACAACCCAAACAGTACACTTCAATCCTGTTAAACAAAAGAACCAAACACTGCCCAGGCTTAAATTTTATATCCCGACCAGTACATCTCAATCCCGCTTCACAGGAGAACCGGACACCATATAAGCTTTAACGCTACAAACTGAATAGTACAGATCAATCCTGTGGCGCAACCATACAGGTACCAAGCACCCTGGTGGACCATTCGCACCATCCATATACACATTCACGTCACATGTATAGTTATTCCGATCAATGATCGCATGAATCAATTGTGCACATCACGAACAGGTCAAACTTCACCTATTCCGCTCACACAACAGTTAAACTCATTAATGTTAGCAATGGCGACATGCCTTACAATGTCCCAATGATAATGACCCTTGAGAACACTGAAAATCAACCACCAGTATGAATGAAATCGGTTAACCAACAGACCAATTTCATGCATAAACAGTCAGTAAAACTTGCCAAAGTAATCCAGAACCATCCACAATGCCATTGGCGAACCTCCAGTCTCATATGAGAGTTTCAGCTCTAGATAGCAATATAACTTACAGCCATGTCATTTCCGTTAAGATTATCATCTGTTCTTATCAAGATAGCATTATAAGATGGATCATCGGTTATGATTACCAACAGATATTGTTCAATAGAAGCAACTAACATGTTTATTTGGTTATGAAGTTGTTCATTATATAATAAATTCCATTTATTTTCACCATAACTACAATTCGTTTGATTAATTTCAATAAATTATTGTCAAAGTTATAACATGAAGTGAATTCAATCGATAACATTATTGATCGTTTCTTCATTTTTTTTGTGTGATCTGTTGTCTATTAATGAGTTCAGATTTATTAATGAATGGAATCAGGACATTTAGTTTAGAAAATTGAACAGAATTATCAGTACGTAGTTGTTGATTTTGAATTAGTTATCTGTGTGAATTACCTGATAATCTGGGGTTCATCCTTGGTTATTTATGTCGACATAAGTAGTATATAACATTAATCAGAAATAAAATGACTGGTTGGAAAGATCAAATCGAAAAGAATAAGAACAGAGAGTAGTTGTTACAGTAATGAAGGAACATTAAAGTTTGAAACTATCGATGTGGGATTCGCAAACGTAGTATCGAATGTACAGTTTTCACATTTGACCAAAGAACTGATTGCTCCCCATACATGTTCCCGTTCACAACGTATTAGATTTAAGGCTGTCAAAAAACCGGCAATTATTGGATTACTGATAAGTAATGAGTCTTTACAACTCCTTCAGTTATCGTACACAGGATTCTTTCATATCTCATACAGTTCACGTTGTCAGTGGACTTTTTTTTAACCTGGAATCCAATAATTTATACATTCAAACCCAATAAATTTACGATACGACCAAAAAATCATTCATTAGCCCTGATAGTATTTGTCTCAATCTTGACATGATTGAGCTCTACTAGTTATAGATTCTTTCTGGGCATTCGAGAACTCATCTCTTAGTTAGTCATTTATTGGGTTATATATATACACCGGAAAAGCCTAAATAGATCACATGTCACTCCAAGAGATCATATACTGTCATAAGGCCACAATTTTGGTTAGAAATCCACTCATTGGTGAGTTATTATGAGTAAACAAATTATCCACCCATTCGAAATCACCGCTCACATGACCCTATCTACAGTAATCTTGTTTCTTATATTTATTCATAAATTGTATTCATTATGATCCTAGTTTTGATTCCTGCGCACCCTTAGTCTTTTTACTGGGCGTAGCTGATTGTGAAAGCGTTGTAAAATGCTTGAATAAATCAGAATCTCAAACATAAAATTAGCGTGGAGAGGTTTGTGAAGATCATTCAATTTTCAACTTAGTTTTACACAATTTTTATTAACAATATCCATTGGAAAGTCTAACTCCTCCTCAAAATATTTACAAATATTTATCACATACATATGAGCGTACAGTTGAATTCCTTATTTTTAATTATGTGTGTTGAATCCATTAGTCAATTAAAACTAGACCACCATGGGAAACGTGGAAACACTGGATGACCGTCTCGTCCTAATACATGACTCCTCAACAGTGCACATCTACGATCCCGCCCGCGGGGTTCGAACACAGGACTTTTCTGTCTCGCACGCGAACGCGTAACCTCTAGACCACTGAGCTGGCCTACATCCAACGGCACCGTCCATCATTGTCATCAGTGAGTTACTATCTCACAACAGAAGTGGTTGAACTCTTGGTCATGGCTTCTCACTAGAACTCCAGGAAATACCTCTTGAAGTCAGTCACAAGTGAGCACATTATTATCAGAAGGGGGGGGTTCGCGGAGATTTTAGTAATTTAATAATTGAATTCATGAAGAGTCCCATACTAGGGCGAAACGGTTGTCCATTGCTCCCATGTTTTCCATTATGGTCTAGCTTTAATTGACTCATGAGTTCAGCTATTAAACTACTAAAACCTCCACAAAATCTCTTGATGGTTATGTATATATTAGTTATATTTTTTTCTTTTCATCGCTTCTTTTATTTTTTAGATGTGTGCTCCTCAACTAAATCGTCATCTACAAGAATTAACTTGTAAACAAACACAATTAGATATAAATAATGAAGCGAATGAATATGATGTAACAGATGCTTTCTCTGTACTATATGATAAAATGCAAACAAATCATAATCAACCAACTACTTGGTATCATTTAATGGATAGACGAAATGATGCTGCATTAATGCTTTGTTCTACATTGACTGGTTTGTTTTGATTTTTATTGTTTATTATGTTGTTAATTTGCTTAATTCTATAACGTATTGTGTTATATGTTTTTATCTCGTCTTCATGATATTGATTCATCTATATGATATGTTCGGACCAGTATCTTATCGTGGGTTCGAATCCTGCGAGCGGGATCATGGATGCGCACTGTTGAGAAGTCCCATACAGCCTTCCAGTGCTTCCAGGTTTTCCATAGGTAGTCTAGCTTTAATTGACTCATGAATTCAACTGTTAAATTATATTGTATATATTGACTTGATAGTGAAATTGTTGAACTATTATACTTCGACTTGATCAGTTAAAAGTAATGGCTATCATTTCGAGACAGGACAATTTTTCAGTGCATGTTAGTGTTCTGGTGATTTCTGGCCTAGATCAAACGAACTTGTTCAATAATGTTCAATTTCCAATTGCTCACCAGTTGTCTATGAACTAATCTTCATAACTTCATTCATTTGACATGATAACATTATCATTACTTTAAGTTTGATCTTAACAACTAACATTCAGTATTTATAGATTATAGCAACAGTTTCCTGCATATACCTGTTATATCAGTATGAATAAATATATACTATTCTGTCTGTTTGTTTTATTTAAATGGTCCCTATATGTTAATTATCAGTGATATAGTATTGAAACATATATTTGAAGTGATAGTGCGATCACTTGGTTGGGAGTGGATTTCGGATCAACCATTGATCTATACAATCATCATGACCTTCCACTCATTGGATCTCTGAATTTTAGATATCAATTGACTAAGTTATATTATCAAATGGATCAGCAAATTGTACCATTAACGTTGAATGACTTGACAACTGGTCAGAAAACAGCATGTAGTTGATAGAGCAGTGATAAAATCACAATGAATAAACAGTTTCAATATGATGAGTAAATCCCAACATGCTGAATGATTTATTTCAGTAAATGGTAAAGCGTTTTTATAGTCAGGATATGGGAAGCATTCTGTTTGTGATTATAATAATGAATAATTGCAAATATTTAAATTGGAATCTCAAACACTTTTAACTTATCTCGTTATACTACCCATTTCTGGATTTCAGTTGTTTTCGTGAATAATTTGATCTTTTTACATACCCTCATTTTACGGTTCACTTGATTTCGTCCCCCCCCCACGCCGCCTAGATCCCAGTATTGTTTTATTCAGTTCTTACATAGTAATAAGTTACAAGGTGTTAGTCATTAGGTTTTGAATTTCATGCAACAATCTAACAGTCAGTCAGCTACAACGTCGTAGGACTAGACACATATATGCGTCGGTCCAAATTGCCACACCTTACTCATTAGATGAACACCGAATTCATAGAAGTAATTACATCAATCTAACAATCTCCATCTTAAATCTTACTGCTACATTAGGATAGTTTCTTTCTACAATTTTAAGGATACTATCCCTAACTCAGGGTCTGAAAAGTCGGAAAAATGAAAACTTCGTAAATGCGATAAAAATGATCTTGGTGGTCTAGTAATAGTATTCTGACACCAGACAATGGGTTTTAAATGTTGTTAAAGCCCTAACGCTTCAGGTTGGGCTATTTCGTTTACTACTCTACATGTGTTATATGCAGTATAATCTATATGGCTATCTAGAGCTGAAAGTCTCATATGAGACTGGAGGTTCGCCAATGGCATTGTGGATGGTTCGGGATTACTTTGGCAAGTTTTACTGACTGTTTATGCATGAAATTGGTCTGTTGGTTAACCGATTTCATTCATACTGGTGGTTGATTTTCAGTGTTCTCAAGGGCCATTGTCATTGGGACATTGTAAGGCATGTCACCATTGCTAACATTAATGAGTTTGACTGTCGTGTAAGCGGAATAGGTGAAGTTTGACCTGTTCGTGATGTGCACAATTGATTCATGCGATCATTGATCGGAATAACTATACATGTGACGTGAATGTGTATATGGATGGTGCGAATGGTCCACCAGGGTGCTTGGTACCTGTGTGGTTGCGCCACAGGATTGATCTGTACTATTCAGATTGTAGCGTTAAAGCTTATATGGTGTCTGGTTCTCCTGTGAAGCGGGATTGAGATGTACTGGTCGGGTTATAAAATTTAAGCCTGGGCAGTGTTTGGTTCTTTTGTTTAACAGGATTGAGGTGTACTGTTTGGGTTGTCACGTGAAAGTTTGGAAAGTGTCCAGTTCTCTTGAAAACCAATGTAAAATTACCCTGACCCACAAGGGTATATTATATGACTATGAAATGTTTCTTTTAACACATTGTCTCGTAATCTTTTCATTTGTTTTCTAGGTATAAAACATCAAATTCGAGCTCATTTAGCATTTGGTTTACAAACTCCTATACTTGGTGATCATAAATATTCACATGCTGAATATTTAGCACCTCAACGTTTACCAAAATCTTTATTAGAAGTATTAAATATTAGACAATCGAAAGTACGATATATTAGTTTACATTTACATGCTTTAAGTTTACATCTTCATGTACCACCACCATCATCATCATCATCATCATCACCATCTTCTTCTTCTTCTTCCAGTAATGAAGGATTTTTTGATTTTGTTCGATCATTTGATAATTCACATAGTAACAATAAGATTACTAATAATAAATTTATAAAAAATCCTTTTAAATTCACTGCACCATTACCGAATCACTTTCGAGGTAATTTAAAACGTATTGGATTAAAATTACCGCATTATTTAAAGTATTTACATTGATAGTTTGTTTCATATAAATAATGTATAGTATTACATAGTATTTTGGTATATGTATTTAATAATTCATTTACATCTATTATAAATACACCTATATACAATTAAACTTGTTTTTGTCCTTTAATTTGTGTTTGGGCTGTAATATTATCCGGGTACCCAAACCGGAAACAGGTGGTTTACTTATGGGAGGGGGCACACACTCACACACACGGAGCCTTCAATCTAATAATCTGATCCACAAGGCAGTGAAGCAACATCAGAAGATGCAGTCTGTTGTTAGCCGGTAACCAATAGTTGATTCATATGCCATTTGTTTTCTAAGGACCCTGGAGCCCGCATGCACTATTAGTTTTTCATTCTCTTAATTTTGTAAACAACAGTAATGCCACGAGATGGTAGTGAGTAGGATCCCTGTTCATATTTGATATGATTATTTATGAATTACGAACAATGAGGACCCGAAAGTCAACGTGCTTAAAATGGTCAAGGTTCGTGATGATTTAGTAATTGTCATGATCCTTAAAGACCGCTTTGACCTTCCTCTCAGTTTACAGGACTAGATCGATAGAATGCTATTGGAAAATTTAAAAAGGAAGCTCAAACGTCTCGCTATCGGTCACACGACTTATCTCAATGAAGAACAACAAACACTCAGATCGTTCGAAACTCTCTCGCTTAACGTTTTCTAGCACTTTTGACATGAATAGTGTTCTACCGGTCAGCCACTTGATGAAAATTTAGGGTGTTTATGGATTTCGAACGAATCTCACGAGGTGATTTTTCTCGGGAGAATTATCATTGTACATGACATTCCAGAAAACGCGGACCAAATTACTGCAATCGAAGATACCCAAGAGTGGTAGATCACAATGGAGTCCTTGAGGCTGATGATAATATTGTTTCATCAAGTGGTATGATTAGCTAAAATGGACTAGGATTCTAGATCCCAGCAAATAAAGATAACTTTCCGTTCTTTTTAAGAGTGGTGACTGTTACTCTTAAGGCATTTTGTGCCAACATAAGCTGTTTATCAACTAATTTACATGCATCTGGACTGACCATAAAAATAATTTGGTGACATGTGATGAATAGAGTAAGCATTTAACACAGTTAATAAGCAAATAATTGACGAGGTCAAAATGTGACATGAAAAGAATAAATCTGTCTGTCCGGAAGCTAGAAGAACCCGTATGGGTTTGATACACGACTAGGCACTGCAATATGTTTACAATGTCAATGCTGTTTGTAAGACGCGTTAAACGAATTGCATAAGGGTTTATGGTCGGTCGTTGTCGCAAATTCACGTCTCTGTAATAAGAAAGTGAAATAGTTTACTGTCAAATAAATCGCTAGTAATTCGCGACCAAAGGCTCTATAGCTTCTTGCACTGGTGACAGAAATTTGGAAAAAAAACAGTTATAGGTGTGATATGGACCTGCTTATTGCTTCATATGTGTTGAGAGTTGTGAAGATTTCTTATCCTCCAGATCACACGCTGTTAGTAGCTGTTGTAATCTATTTTGTTGGACACTGATATGCGTTGTATGACTGTTGCCTTCAGTGTATCATATAGATCGATTAAATCGCCAACTTCTGCCGTAATTTTGATAGGCAAAGCGCCTACGACGTATGCATATTATTTTGCCTGTGACGATGATATGATGAAGAAAGATCTAGTTTCAACCTGTTGATTTTATGACGGTTTGTTTACTCGCTAAATACTTTACGATGAATTTGTGCTAGTAGACATTCTTACACAAGACGGATGAGATGAGTTACTTTAACCTTTTGTGTATTGAGAATGGTTCAATGAGTTTAGGTTTACGTGTAACGCATCTTTCACATACCTCATCTTATGAACCGTTTGATTTACTGCTGTTGTTACTTGGTATTTGATCAGCGTCATAAACTTTTCAGTTTACTTGAATTTTCAATTTCCCTAATGAAAAAAGCCTTCTTCTCTCATATATTTGTTGTCAGGGATTTTATTGTTGTTCATCTCACTAGAGGATAATGAATGTATCAAATATGTGACATATTCAAGTCTTCGGTTCGTTGTTGTGACTGACTGAAACAATGTTTGCAAGACTTTGTATCATTCTGTAGTTGTTGTTGCTAAAGATTGTAATTGACTAGTCTCTCCTAACATCTGTATATTATAGGCTTTTGTCCCCATGTTGAAAGTTCGGACATGTCTAATCTAAGTAGCTCAGTGAATAGTAGTCTCACATTCGAAAAGGGAAGGGCTCAGTGTATCCATCGGTATTAGGATACAATTGTGTCCAGCTAACGGTTCTCCAATATGAAGAAACCCACTTCCTGTATTCTTATACGATGTACATTAACTAGTAGAGGCTGATGCAGAGATGGTAGAGATTCGTAGCTCAAGTGGGTGATTTTGATTCAATTTTTTTTTCTGCGGTGGACGTTTTAATCAAGAAGCTTTCATTTTCCCTCTCAATAACATCACCAAGATTATAAAGGCCGTTTAGATTAGGTGTAGCACATAAACCAGCGAAATTACTTCAACCAAACTTATACAAATCAAACGATAAACTAACAGTTACGTCCCGATGAGAATAATGAATAGTAACTTCTGGGACCACCATGGAAAGCCTGGAAGCACTGGACGACCATTTCGTCCCATTGTGGGACTACTCGGCAGTGCGCATCCACGACACCACCTCGCGGGACTCGAGCACAGGACCAATCGGTCTCGCGCCAAGCGCCTAACCAATTAGACCACTGGGCCGGCATCCAATAGAACAAAACGGCTGTTCAGTGCTTCCAGGTTTTTAATGGTGGTCTAGCTTCAATTGACTCATGATCTCAACTGTTGAAATTACTACAATCTCCACAAAACCCCGTTTGATACAATTGTGTAAACATTGACAGGTTAAAGATTAGCACTAACTAATGAGGATCAAGGTCGACAGGACAAGCCTTCAGTCATATGTGGAGAAATTTGAACATATAATTTCTACCGGAAGCTTGTCCTAGTGAATTTGTCCAGAAGAACCATGGAAGTTTCCCAAGTGAACCATTCAGCTCAGTTGACGAAACTTCACCAAAAGTGACCAACCATTCTGAGTTCATAGAATTAAAAAACAATCACGTATAAATAATTTTAAAACCAGTTAGTACGTTAGTATCTTTTTGAAACGAGTTAATGAATATAACACTACTTGGCCTTTGAAGCGATATGTAGTAGATTCGAATTTCTGTAACAACGTCCTTTGTGTTGTACAGTCTTCAAAGCATCTACAGTACCTTGATACGTCTATGGGGCAATCCACGTAAGGTACTGTAAGCGACGCGTGACTTCGACGTTAGCTGATTCGTCGCACCATCCCCGTATAACTATAGTGGACCTTCAGTCGTTCAACATAGATCATTTACCTTGGTGATCTACAATTACCTCACTGCTGTCACAGCCTCATATTGTCAGTGGCACGACTTCGCCCTCAGGCTTTTTGTGGCTGCTTTTGGTTTCACTGTTCTCCAATCGATCTGCCTGGCCTAGTTAAATTTAAAGGAACACGTGTTCCTGCCAATATATCTTGCTTGATCCATCACGACAGGTATACCTAACCACAACATCAAAGTAACAACTACGGTCATTTTATTGTCTTAAATACATCTTTGTTGAACCAGGCTAAAAACTGTTCTCAAGCATGTATATATAGGTTACTTCATAGAAGTGATTCAATTAATTAACAAAGAATAAGATGAAAATTCTATATAACTCATCCATCAGAATCAGTATCAATATGTAGCAAGTGAGTGACACCAAATATAACCTCACCAGATCAAACAATTTCTGAGTGATATCTTTAACTACTTACTTGATATTTCAGTACTATTTTATCCGTACACTAATTTTTCTTTTATTTACTGTAGAAATGTATATTAAATTCCAGTACTCAAGTATTATTATTATTTTCATCATTATTAAGGGTGACCTTGATTTCAGACGGAATTCACCGCACTTTCATCAAGATGAAATATTTAAACAAAAATAAAATCATAATCCATTAAATTGGTCAACACACCATCTAATACGACTTTAATAAAGAAACTTTAATAAACAGATAGACAGATATTGTAGAAAGATATTCAATCTTGTTTTTCTCTCTTTAAACAAATAGGAGATTATTTTTAGGTAATTCAATATAATGTTGATCACTTTTAATAAGCATTCATTGAAGTCAAGTACATGAATAATGATTCATCATAAAGAACGTGAACATTCACGGTGGAACTAGATCATTACACTATACACATTGTATATTGAATGACATTACTTTAAAAAGAACCATTGACATTGTTATATCTTGAAGGTTGTTCTTGATGTACCGCGTAAAACGTGAGCAATAGAACGCCAGAGCCCTTCCAAGTCACAATGACAAGACAGAAGACTAATGTAAAGAATATTATTCCCAGACAGTGCCAATTATAGTACAAAATTGTCAGGTATTTATAGTTTTTAGTAAAAACGAAATTATCATTACAGTCCACCAAACCACATACAGGGGGTCATTAGCATTGTCCAATCGGGAAGCTACATGTAGGAATTCTAGAATATTTTCCCAAAAGGTGATTGGATGGAATATCTTCGACTCCTTCTGAGCCTCCTACAGCTTCCTTGAGTTCACCCGTGGTCCATCGTCACAGACATCCATCTGATTCAATCATAATATGGTATATAAAGAATGATGTTGTTGAGATATTGAGATTTCACATAAAGGTTTGTAACATTTTGTAAGGTTTTAATGAAGAATGTAACTGCAACGAATAATCAACCATAAAAAAATCTATAAAACTCTTTGAAAATTACAAAAAACTTTCTGGAAATATTTTGATTAACCAACAATTCTGAGTAACATTTCAAGAGAACTACAGAAGACAATGGATAATACATTCGTTTATCTGGTTAAATAATTAATGACTATGATATACAACTGACTCTAAAAAGTATGTACATAATTTCTCAAGTGTCGAACTAGATAAAGAAAAACTAGAGTTATTGTCCCTAGGTCTAAAATTTTGTGTTACTCGTAATAACTGTAACCACATCGATACAGATATACAGTTCGAGAATCTTTA